GTTCCTGGACGGCAGCGGGAGGGTCAAGGTCCCGGAGGCCTTCATGCCGTTCTCCACAGGTTGGTGTTGTCGATCAAACTGCCAATAATAATCGAAACGGTTTATTTTTTTAAGCTACGTTACAGTTAGTAACGCTGTGTTATGTTCAGTGCATCCAGATCAATGATTCGTAATCAGTTTCTTTGGAAAAAGTTACATTTTTGCCTTCATGACACTGCTTCTGTTGGTATTGGAAACATTCTGCAGGAATAAAATTACTTAAAGAATGATGTATCTAAAAGTAGATCCATTAAGGACTTGTTATGGCACAATCATCTACCGTTTCAACTACAACTGTACTTCAATATTGCTCCATCTCTGTGCAGGAAGAAGAATTTGCCTCGGCGAGCAGCTGGCCAAGATGGAACTTTTCCTGTTCCTCACGTCCCTGCTGCAGCAGTTCACCTTCAAACTGCCAGAGGGCGCGCCTGAGCCAGACATGTCAGGAGAGATCGGCGTCACTCTTCAGCCCAAACCCTACAAGCTGGAAGCTATTCCCCGCAAGGCTTCACTGTGATTTTGGCGAGTACATTGAGGGGAAAACAATCATTCTTTCAAAATGAATATGCTACTGGTTGTGTACCATATTCCTGTCAACAACTCAAGAGGTTGGAGGCTCCTTCTTTTGAGTGCCCATCCATTCATTTCATATACATGTCATGTCAGGGTATAGACTCAAATCTGGTAGAATCCAACCTTGATCAACAAAGAATCCGATCTGGATGTTATATATTTGTTAGGTTTTGTCATGGTGTCTTAATTTTTTACCTCTTTTTTTTTCAAATACAAAGGTAGTAAATTTCAAGTCAGTCCGTGGCATGAATCAAATTTGAAAAGACTTTCTGTTGACAGCGAGTTTATCCTTGGTGTATCCAATTGGAGCCTCTCCCCCGACATATACATAAGCTTCCAACACTAGAGGTGTAAATGACATTCTATTCTATTCTATTCTATTCTATTCTATTCTATTCTATTCTATTCTATATGATACTGGACAAAGCCCTATCTAGGGCATCCCGCCCAGTGACATGTGACTTGTCCAACCACAAATACAAAAGTACAGATGACAGCATTACTGTATATTGCTTTATTGACAACAATGCAAAGACACATACTGTGTAACACACAGGACAAGTAATGTACAGATATGGTGATCGATAATAAAAGGACTTTCAAAGCCAAAAAGATCAAGGAACTTTTAAATACATGTCAATAAAAGTGTTAATAGAGACATCCCAAAAGTGGGCTTTGTTAAAATACTCCTATCCCTATCCTACCTTCTACTGCCTCTCTATTTGTAAGCTTTCATGCAGAGCACCAGAATATAATGAATTTGTAAGTATGAAGCTCAGTCACAATACTAAAGTCGTTAGTTATTTACAAAATGCCATTTACATAAGTATAAAAGTAAATTTTGCTCCTCAGGACATGGTTAAGACGCTATTTTCTGTACAAAGCTATAATCCATGTAGTACTGAACATAAGCAATATTTCATAAAAAGGCAGTGTCTACATGTCTGACACATATTGATATAATGTCAAATTAAGTACAATTGCCACAGGACAACAAACTGCTGTCACAGTTCTCTTTACACTACTTTGCTACAACATGAGCACGCTATTGCTACAACATATTTACAGATCAAAGTACATATTGTATTCAAATTGGCAATTTGATCAACTTATTGCCCGTCTTTCTATCTTTTATAATGCCAGTGTCAGTGTTCCAATGCTGGATG